GCCTCTTGGGTCGCCTTCCTCCCCGAAGGGGATGCTAAACTTATTCTATTGTCATAACCGCTCCTGCACCTAAATGATTCTCCCTCACTTAGATTCAACTAAGTCCGCTCGTCACATGAAAATCGAAGAATTTCCAATCCTTCTTACGTTCCAATGGTCAATCTGTTGACGACCGGTGCTTACCAACGCTAGTGCACCCAAGTAACCCTTCCCCAAACAACAGAATTCCTGAGAACCGGGTAATACTTCTTGAATCCTAACAACATCAATGATTCTAAATGCTTAAGCTGATATTACATACAGATTTCGAAGTCCAAAGGATGGATGGTCTAACTAAAACCTTAGCAACAACTCTCCTTTCCCTCGACAATCCCGATTGCTCTTCCAAGCACAAATACTAAGGCTACTGAAAACCAATCATAATTCCCTCATACAAGCCCTTGAACTAACCCCGATTACACCCGAGATAACATCCGAACACCGTGAGTCCGCTACTTATAAGGGTACAGCCTCGTACCACTCCACCAAAGACTCATGGTATGCAGATGACACATAACCCTTCTTGAATACAATACCCTTAACCACAAAACAGAGATGACAACATCCTGATATGCTTACGTTACGCTAATGCAAGATGACCTCCACAAATCCAGGTAAATCTGGAAGGAAGGAAAAAAGGTATGTATCCCGCACCCTCGCCTGTTGAAGTTATGATCTCCCTGTCTAGTATTACGAAGTGCGGCTCCTGTCTTACCCTTTCATCCGTCGGTGATCCTCAAAATATCTGGAGCAGGTGCACTCCTACTCCTCTCTGATCATCGGACAGTCGACCTCCTTGTCACCCACCTGATCACAATGAAAAAAAATATAATGGGCTTGCCCTTTGAACAGATTCCGACAAGGATTCGGAACAATAACGGTACACGCGGGATCCGCTCCGCGAGATACATTCGCCTGAAGATTTCTCAAAGATTACTCGGCATGCTGAATGGCATCTGACAACCCTTGCTAACTCAGATAATAGCGGAGAACCGACCCGAGATCTAACTTATCACAATTCCAAAGCGATGCAAATTCCCTACATTCACCTGAAGTGGCGGAAGGTAGCATATCCACAACATCTGAAGGAACCCTGACCATCTCCTCCTATGTTACCTAGACCATCCTGAGGGCATGGTGTAACACTTCCCTCCGATCCAAATGACAATCCAAACCCCTGAAACGAAACGCTGTCGCACAGTTTCTGCAAGCGTTGCACTGGGTCCAACCCTTCTGGTCTCTCAAAAGTTGATCCGAATCTTGGGTCTCCGCCTGAGGTCCTCCACTAAATTCACCTGACTTGAACCTCTCTTATCGAGGTACTCCTAATCAATCTTTCCACCCTCGGCTCTGGGATCCATACCATTTAGGGTCTCGCACCCTAACACACTCACCAACTCAACTGTCAATGGTTGAACTGCAATAGCTGGAGCAACCTCCGCCCTAAACCGGCTACAACTACTCCCAAGACACACTCTCCAATCCCAAAGGACAATAAATCGCACAGCCAATCCTTGCCACCTGATACAAGAGATCTAAGTAGAACTCAAAATCCTGGCTGTCCTTCCGCTAACTGGCTCACCACCGGAGCCGGGACCAAACCCTGGTCCTTCCCCTTGCGTGCTCATCCGCATTCTGCACAACAGCTACCCTCACTATCAGAGCATAACAAAGAATTCTCCCTCCCATAAGCTTATTAGATTCTCCAAGACTCTCACTGATTCAAGTATGGATCCTGTGCTTTCAGTAGTACGGGCCCATACTACCTTCCACACCTATCCATACTTTCCTCAGCAATCCTCCCGAATCCTCTAAGTCACCTACTCTACTGGGGCACCAAATATCTGCTAAACAGCAACACAATACCCACCAAAGCAACTCCTACGCTTCCCCTAGGTTCCCAACCTCACCGAATCGCCCCACTAAACTCATTGGAGCATATCCTAGGCTTTCCTAGGTCCCCAACCTCACCCTGCCATCTGCTGCTGAAGAACTCCCCATGATGCCAGCCATCCACCTCCTGGATATCGTTATATCCACTTAGTAGCTAACTCCCATCACTCAAGAGTTCCACAAAGCACAAAGCAAGCAGCATTCGTGCAGTAGCACTCCGATCCAAAGGACTATCATAGGACATTCAGCCCACATACCACAACTCGTGCTATCCACATCCATCCATCCTCACTGTCGGCTGCCTTATGAATGCAAATTATACACAAAACAGAATCTAATAGACTGTCGAATAATAGACTCTACCCTAGGACCACAACCAGACAAGGAACAGGAAATAAGGCCAAATCAATTATTCTAAGGCTATAAGATCCTAACCGTATACAATTTTAAAAGAATACACGTAGCGGTTACTAATACCAATAATCATTCTCATTCTATCATGGTATCCAATATTCCAAGGCTATACGCATCACATATCAGGCCAATCTATTGCTGACTACTCAGAACTAGCATGCAAGTCTACCAGCTCATACAACATATACAGGAATCTCCCCAAGCCCTAACTAACATGCGATTCACAAATTCATAAACTAAGTCATAACAAATATCATATATGGGTATTCTGGGAAAACTTACTTGAGCTCAGCTGATTGCATGCACCACACCCTTTTCTTATATTAGAAAGTTCTTTCCTTGAAAACATTTTTCTTTTTGAAAAATTTACAGATCCTCAGTTTGAGTTCAGACACACCCGAAAGTAATGTCCGAATCCCACAAACCAAGGCTCTGATACCAACTTGTAACGACCCAAAAATCAAGGGTAAAAGTTTCATTTTTAATATAACTAAAACATTGATACTAGTTATTTCAAACATCTCAAATCATCATTAAGTAAAACATTTATCAGAGTTTATCCCAAAATCATTCATTGCGGAATTCAGAGGTGTGTGTACTGCGATCAATCTGAGCCCTTCTTTTCCAAATCGATGATACCTGAAACCAAAACTATAAACCGTAAGCACAAAGCTTAGTCAGTCCCCCGGAGCATACCCCACACACAATCCACATAACACATATCATATTAGCTATAAAAGTTATCTCTACCACATACCACATATCATATTAGCTATACAAGCTATCTCTACCATATAAGCCATGCATACCAACATATAAGAAAGCCGTGGAAACCCTCCAGGGTCTTATACCAAATGCCACGGGAACTCCCACATGGTCTTCCATGCAAATGTCATACTATCATATCGCATAATCAATCAACAATCTGCATCACATAAAATGGGCCGACCTTGGTGCCTTAGACCCATTGGTATGGTGAGAAGACTCACCTCTCACGAATGCTGGACTGACAAGCTAGAATCAGATATGACCCACGTGCTGCTCCAACTCAACTGCCTTTAAGCATCATGTGATTAACTTTTCATAATCCCATAATTACCCTTAAAGTCAACCCTGATCAATCCTGGTCAAAGTCAAGGTCAACAGCCAAGGTTAACAGTCCATGTTGACCTCAAGTCGTCGAGTGCATCTAGTGACTCGCCGAGTCCCCTATGAAACTCATGGGACCGCAAACTCAAACCAACCGGAAACTCCTGACCCGTAAACTCATGAAAACCGCAAACGAGTAAACCCTACTCGACTTGTCGATTCAGCCAAGGGACTCGACGAGTTCCTTCAGTCTTCTTTAAGTTCGGCCCTTTCCGTGGGATCTAGGGTCCCAAACTCCAGATCCAAGCTCTCCTAATGCAGATATCACGTAAAGTTGCAAACTTTACATGCATGCAAGGTCCTTCAAGGCTATAACTTCAAAACTAGGTTTCTCACAAGGTTTTTGTGCATGGGAAGACACTAAACTGCATAAAGGAAGCAACTTTATGGTATTTGGGACCTAAAGAGGTCCAGATCTGGAACCCTATCCTTGTGATATGTTCAGATCCAAGCTTGACTCCATTTTGCCCCAAAAATTGCCATTTACTTCCAAGAAAGAGATCTAAGTAACTAGAGGTCAAGATCAACACTTAATACCTTAGGATGCTGGCAAAAATGATGTAGATGTTGGATCTACTGTCCCTCTCCAGTCTCCTTCTTCTTCAAGCTCTAAATTTCTTCACAATGACTTCAAGGTTGCTCACAATGGGTATTTCTCTCACTCAAGAGGGGTTTACGGCCGCAAACTCTCTTCTCTGGGTAATAAGGTGCTAAGGGAGGCCACAAGGGCAGGTTATGCTCATTATATAGGGTGTAAACCCTTAAAAATTAGGGTTTTCTCTTCCAGCTCCTACTCGCCGAGTCGGGGCCTTCCGACTCGTCGAGTAGGTCCCGATCCCGCGTCCATAAAAATATCTCTACTCGATGAGTTGGACTCCCAACTCGCCAAGTCCATGCCCAATAGTCTAAAAATTAAATAAATTAAGTAATACCTGGTACAGGTGTTACACATACGACTATAACATCGTCAGAGCGTGGTCTAGGTCTAAGACATCTGTCTCTGACGAACCAGGGTTCAGATTTCAAAGAAGGGCAAGTGATTGACAAATCACAAAGATCATCACAAGATTCCAAAAAAAAAAAAAAAAAAAATAGGCGGTCTAGCCAAAAAAAAAAAAGGAAGGCAGGCTTACCGTAAGATGAAGGTGGTGGAAAAAGGCATCATGAGAGTTGGTGGAAGTAAGGTGGTGGGCCCTTGTTATTTTAAGACAAAATTTCATGAATTGTCCGTATAGTTTGTAAAAGACGATTTTGCCCTCAAATGCTTTGCAAATGTTCTGACTTAACAGACTAAAATAGACGGTGTTAATAATAAGGACTGTTTATGAAAAGTTTTAAAACCACATCGAACCATCTTTGAGGCAAAAAATATAAGAGATAAAACTTGACATTCTAAAAAACTAGAGGACCATTTATGAAGATTTGTGTGTTTTTTTTTAATTATTTATTATATTTAACACACTTGTATTTAACAATAGACATTTTAACCTGTTCGGTATTATTAAATGGCAAGGGTGTGTGGAGATTCTTTCCTTTCCTCTATAAAAACCAGCAGAAGCGGAAACTTGTGTATGTCTAACACATCTCAGGATCAGTGTCTGATCGGATTTCACTTTCTGATATCGAAAGTCTACCTGATTCAATTCATCTTTCTGAGTCTCCCCTCTTCATTCAATTCTCAAGTAAGTTGCCCCTTTTGCTTTTCATCTTTATGTAAAATTGGCTTTTTTTTTTCTCTTTCGATTTTTTTTTTTTTTTGGGTTTTTTAGTTATATGAATCTGTTTATTACATTACATCGAACAGGTTCTGGGCTTTACATGTTTTATTGCTTAGTTTCTATGAATTAGTTTTTTTTTCTTTGGATTTTTTTTTTTAATTATTTTCGAAAAAATTCCTGAGGTGTGCTTGTAAATATGCAGTTCTTCAGAAAGAATAATGTTTGTGAGACACGGACACATCTGGTTTTTGAAGAAAGACGATAACAATTCCTGGAAGTTGCTATTTTTGTTTTACATATACGTGAACCTTCTTCACTCCGATCCCTGAATCCTTTTTTGTCCGAAACACTAAATCCTGATTTTTATATTTTACTTGCATTTGCCACGATTTTAGTTGTTATAGAATTTTGACTTGAAGAAGAAAGAAATTTTTTTATGGACGATCATACCACCATGTTTGGATCCATCAAAGAAAACAACCTTGATTTCGGTAGTCCAAATCTGTCTTCTTCAACCCTTTTGGATTATTCACCTTCTTACTTTACTTCCACAGACGTATTCATGGGATGTTTTGATCCAATCGTTTCCCCTGAAGAAACAGATATGAACCCTCTTGATGATTATCAAGAAGTTTTTGATAATCGATTGATTCAAGCCTTTGAAAATCTGTACCAAGGTTGCGAAGTGTTCACAGACCTTCTTGTTCAACTATGGCTTCCAGTAATTAGACATGGCAAACTAGTCCTAACCACAGTGAACAAATCATTCATAATTACCTCATCTGATAACACAAACCTCTTAAATTATCGAGAGGTTTCCAAGAACTACCAATTTGCTGTTGAGTATGATGCTACTGAGATGATCGGTTTCCCTAGCCATGTTTTCATGAATAAGTTTCCCACATGCACACCAGATCTTCGAGTTGTTGCAGAAGGGGATGACCCTCGTGTGATTTATGCTAAAAAACTCCACCTTTGTGGGTGTCTGAACCTCCCTGTCTTTGAATTAGATGGTGGAACTTGCTTGGGTGTTGTTGAGGTGGCGACAACTTCCCAGAAAATCAACCTCCGGGATGAATTCGAAAACATTTGTAAAGCTCTTGAGGTCTCTTTCTATCTTCTTTTCTATAAAGGTTTCTGTGTTTCTGGCTCGATCGTGTTAGGTTTACTTCATTCACATCATGTTTTGCAAACTTGTTTTTTTTTGTTAAATGAGTTGACTTCTTGGTTCAATCTTTTCTGAATCAACTTTTACTTGCAGGCTGTTGATCTAAGGAGTTCGGAGTTCTTGATCCATCCAAAACAAAAGGTAGGAATACTTTAAGAAACTCATCAATAAAAGTACATTTAATTCAACCCTTTTCTAATATCTCGTGTATGTTTCTGTTTATCAGGTTTTCAGTGAACCATACGATGCAGTACTTGCGGAGATTCAAGATGTTTTGAGAAGCATATGCAATACTCTCAATTTACCATTGGCTCAAACATGGGGCCCATATGAAGGCAGATCCGGAACCATTTCCGTGATCGAATCCGCTTCGTATGTGTTCGATACGGAGATTTTAGGGTTCTTTGAGGCGACCTCCAGCCAGCAGCTCGTATCAGGAGAAGGTATTGCTGGTAAAGCGTTGGGTACAAACCAACCTTGCTTTACTGACATTAATGATTTTTGTAGGACTGATTATCCGATAAGTTCTTATTACGGCCTGAATGCTGCCATGGCAATACGACTCCGTAGCACATACACGGGACCCACCGATTTCATCCTCGAGTTTTTCCTGCCCCGTGATTGCAAACGAGATGAAGAACAAAAACAGATCGGCACCTCGATAATTTCGATGATAAAACATGTTTCTTGGAGCTTGCATTTGATAAACGATGAAGAACTAGTGAAAGACATGAATACCCGTGATGAATCTTGGATATCCGATATGGTGGAAGCAGGGGAGAGGGGCGAAAAAGTCATTTTGTCGATGGGGTGTCATAAGGAAGATCCAGAAGAAGAAACAAATACCCGACATGAATCTTGGATAGCGGATATGATTCAAGCCAGGGAGAGGGGCGAAAAGGTCATTTTGTCCATGGGGTGTCACAAGGAAGAACCGGAAGAAGAGTTTCAAGTGATAAACCAATTTTATAACGGACTCGAAAATCAAAATTTTCTCGAGTGGGGAACCGGAACCGGATCAAGAGGCCAATCTAAACGGTCAAGCATAAAGAATCGGGTGAAGACAGAGAGGAACATAAGTTTGCAAGATCTCCAACAATACTTTCCTGGGAGTCTTAAGGACGCTGCTAAGAGCATTGGGGGTTAGATACTTTCATACTTTCTTTTTTTATCCTGAAAAATACTGCTACGGACACCATTTTATCATTCCCTAATTTTCCTTCATGTTTTCAGTGTGCCCCACTACGTTAAAACGGATATGCAGACAACACGGAATCATGAGATGGCCATCTCGAAAGATCAAGAAAGTAAGCCATTCTTTAAAGAAGCTTCAACTCGTCATCGACTCCGTTCAAGGTGCTGAGGGGATGATCAAACTCGGATCATTCTATACCAATTTCCCAGACCTAAACTCCCCGATTTCACCTACACCTAAACCAAAAGTTAACAATCGGGTCAACCTCTTAAAAAAATCCCAAACACCATCCAATTCTTCATCTTCTTGCAGCCGTGATTCAAGTAGTTCATCGGGAAATGCGTTTCCCATGCATACCGAAAACGTTCAAAAGAGAAAGTTACCTGTAAACCACGTAAGCCAGTTTCTCTTTCAAAGTGCACTTCAATAACATAATTTTAAATATACTATAAAATTAGTTTTCATTATTTTATTATGTGAAAACAGAGCTACAACAACATGAACGACTTGATGTCAACACCAAAAGACAAACTAGTTGACGATCATCGGTTTGCAGAGGTTATCCCACCAACACTGAATGATGAAACAATTTTTAGAGTAAAAGCTACTTACGGTGATGAGAAAATTCGGTTCCGTATGTCGAAAAATTGGGGTTTTGGGGATTTGCATCGAGAGATTTCCAAGCGGTTTAATATATATGATATGGGAAATATTAGGATCGAGTATATAGATGATGACTCGGAATGGGTACTTTTGGCATGTGATGATGATGTTGAGGAATGCATGGATTTGCATACATCCACCAACAATCAAACGATTAAACTCGTTGTTCACCGGTCTACCCACCCGTCATTCATGTGGTAGTTTTTGCATTTGGGCAGTAATTTATGTACTCGTAGGTATCCCATACGGGTGTTATTAACCGTTGGGGCCTTTCGGTTGTTTTAGTATAAAGTACAAAAGTTGCTCCTTGGTAGTTTAAAGTCTGAATCCTTTTGTATGATACTCTAACTCTCAATAAAAATTGAGATTGTAACGAGTAGAGGATTTGAATTGTATCTAAACAGAGGTTGAGAATTTAGATAATTGTGAAAACTGGATACACATCAAACGCAATATTGTGGTGTGATGGTTTATGGTTCATATGCTTTAAACACAACCATGTTACCTGTTATTAGAATTTGAGTATTTGACGTTTTTTTTTGTTATGTGTGTGCACGGTTTTCATTATACATACACGCTATGCAAGTTTATAGGTTCTTGCATATCTTATAGTTAAAACCCATCGGTGTAACGGGTACATGTGAGTTCGTTTCAAATGTTTGAGTTTGGAGTAAACATGTTAATAACTTGATATGGATATAAGATGAGAATATTTTCTCTATTTATGTAATTTAACGTTAAATGATGTTATAGTATCAATCTTACAGTTTTATGTATAGATATGGACAAAAAATGGTATTGTGAAAATCATGGAGTTCCTAAAGTCCATACAAGGTCATCAATGAAGAATTTTCCAGGTTATGTTCATCTATGAAGGGTATAAGTCTCATACTTATTCAGCAGGCCCGTCGGCGATAGGGGCGACCGCCCATGACCCATCTTTTAAAGGGGCCTAAATATTTTATAGAAATTGTTATATTTAGAAGATAGTACAAGTAATTTTCATTCAATTATTGAATTATTATAAAAAAAACTTGATGACATTTGTGTATTTTAAGGGCCCATTTTTTCTCTGGCCCTGGGCCCAAAATATGTCTAAAACGTAACTGAACAATTCAGTTATTTGTAGTAACTCATAGGTAACGGAAGAACCCTTTACGGATGAAAGAGAGTTCCAAGTGATTGTGTCGTAGAGGATTATGAGATGTGTGTAATTATGTTGATTTCTCATTTGACATTGATTAAGTACATAGTATTTTCTGAGCTTATGTCCCTCATGACGTGGTCTATTGTCCTTTGTGCTAATGCTATGAGTAGGAGACATCTATGTATATATATGTATCAAGTGCGAGTCTTTAAAATCAGTAAAGTGTTTTGGTGACAAAATATATGAACAAAACACTAGATCTTAACGACATCAACAATTCTTTTATTTCGAATAAGATTCAGTTGGTTTTAAAGGGACTTATAATGCAAAACTCACTACAACACTCGATCATTCATAATTATAACGAGCCTCACTACAACCCTCAATCTAGACTACTCTCAACCTAATCTAAGAACACATGAATCACAGACGCAATAACTATGATTAAAACCCTAAAAACAAACAGAGAGAGAATACAAAAAGTGTGTGAGTTATCTGTGAGTTATACGTGTTCAACACACATATATAGACATTATATATGAAGGATCTAAATCCATATCCGAGTAACAACCCGCGTACTTTAGAACTTGATAGATAGTGAGCCGTGATCCAAATCTTTCCAACTATAACAATATCTACCCTCCTGCAACAAATTCTTTACAAACATACTACTAGCAAATGACAAAAAAATAGCATTAAATAAATTAAATATAAAAAGATATAAAAAAGGATATAAACAATGAAAAGTTTGCAATAAATATGTTAATATTCTCAACACCCCCCGACAAACTGATCATTGTTTCATAAATGGATCAAACAATCCCATTTTATTGCACAAATAATCATGTTGACCATAAGTCAACCCTTTAGTCAAGATATCTAAAACATTATCATCAGAAGTAACTTTAACAACCTCAATGAATTTCTTTGAAACTTTCTCTCTTATGAAATGAGTATCTATATCAAAATGATTAGTTTTTTTTGTGATAAACATGAATCAACACCAATTTAATGGAAAAATCTTTATCACAATAAACTAGAACAAGAGGGAGATCTTTAACCCCAATATTTAACAACACTTTTAAAACCCATATAATTTCACAAGTAATCGACCCAAGTGCTACATATTCTGATTCAGTGGAGGAGCGAGAAACAGTGTCTTGTTTCTTACTTCTCCATGAAATTAAGTTGTCATCAAGAAACACAACATAACCTGTGACAACCTTCGTGAAACAAGACATTTAGCCCAGTGTCCACAAAGCCTTTTAAAGATAAACAATAAACCTTAGTAACACTAACCCTTTTGTTAGGATTATTTAAAAAAAAAAAACACAATAACCTAAGAGCAACGTTTCAATGAGATTTTCTGGGGCTATGCATAAATTGACTAAGTACTTGAACATGATAAGAAATATTAGGTCTAGTTATAGTCAAATAAATCAATTTCCCAATAAGTTTTTGAAACTGATAATTTTTGTTAACAAAGAGTCAAACATGTCACCTTTTTCCCACTTTTGCCTCTTCCTGGTATCTTTAAGTGTCTCATCAACACCTTCCTCCACCTCAGGTGGCCTTGGAGTAGTCAACACGTATGCTGCTTCCAGAGTGGTCAGCATGAAGTTCATCTTCTTCTTCAAACGCCTGAAATCGACGCCTTCAAACTTCTCCAGTTTTGCAAACTTCGTGTTCATCTCGCGGATTGAATCACCCATCTCCAGAAATAGAGATTATCAATTCGATTGTTAGAAATTTGGTAGGGTTTATAGTGGTGATCTGGATACCTAATGGATCGTGTAAACACCTTCCGAACTGATATTTCTACCTTATGCCCGGGTTACAAGAAATTCAGCCTTGGATAATCCCAAGGGGACACTAACGATTCTAGGCACAGAAAACGTAAGCTAAATTGCTAGATAATTTTGTGTTCGTATGAAGAAAAACGAGAGCCAGAAGTACCGCCCCTTCAAAGAGGAGAGTCGTTTATATAGTAAACGAAATGAAGGGTTTCGATTTTAGAGTTGGCTGTCATTGGTTTCTTCGGAAACAAATCAAGGGAATCCAAATTAATGAGGAAACAAATCAAGGGAATCTGAAATTAATGAGGAAATCAATGGTTTCCAAAACTGAAGATCTTAGTCAGTTTCACCATAATCACCCTCAAGAATTCGATTTTTCCACTATGTACCCACTTGAAAAATCCGAAGAGTTTTTGGGGCGCTGCCCCTCGACCCCGCCAAAGGGACGCTGCCCCTTTGGAAACCCCGAACCCGGGGGCACTACCCCCGGTCCTCCGACTTGTCATCGAACCGTCTTCTAATTCGATCTTATACATGCGTGCACTCCTCACATACCCAAACATATATTAGAGTACAAGTTATGAAGCCCCTTAGCTCGTATGTAAGTTCCAAATTACAAAAAATGTCCCGTTGACACTAAAATCACCAACAATCAACACTCATGTGGTTATCATCTTAAAATTTCATACACTTCAAATAACCTTAAATTAAGGTTCCAAGCTAGCATATAAGTACGATATCTCAATTTTTTGTATTCTTGTGTCATCTCTTATTTTTGTCCCCAAATTGCACTAAGTAACAATGAACTTTGTATATTTGTCATATCTTTGTATTATCTTATATATTCTTACTCCATTATCATTCATTTTCATACAATAACATGCATAATTGTTATTTCCATCATGTTCAAGATTATAGGCCATTATAAAGGCTTGTACCTTTATAGGTATACTTTTATCTCATTTAATATATATCTCAATAGCAATATACTTTAATAATTTATCTAACTCTTATTATCATCGTTATATTATTGAATCATAAGCGTTCTAACATGTATAATAGCAAGTTTCATTACCTAATTCATAAACTTACAATTGTCACCACACTCATGTTATTCCATCTTTACTTTTTAGTCTCAATAGTTTAACATGTTGAAAATTGACATTTTCAAGATGTTACACAACTATAAAGACTACCATATATGGATTTCATCGTTAGGAGGGACTATCGACATGGATGAGGGGTTGGAATACCGCTGAACAACGAGTTTAATCATTTGATTCTTGGTTGATGTATGCAAATCCAAGCATTCCACAACATCATCATCACATGCCAAAAGTACCAATTCCAAGTCATCATCTATATACTTGATTGTAAAATTTCCCATTTCATATATATTAAACCGCCTCGATATCTCTCAGTGCAAATCCCCAAAACTCCAATGTTTTGACATCTGAAAACGTATTTTCTCGTCACTATAAATAGCTTTTACTTTGAAAATACCTTCATAAATCGAGTTGGTACTCTTCTGTGGCAGGATAACCTCATCGTCAACTAGTTTTCGGTTTGGTGTTGGCAGCAAATCGTTCATGTTGTTGTAGCTCTTTTTTCACATAATAAAATAATGAAAATTAATTTTAGTGTATTTAAAGCTATGTTATAGAAGTGTGCTATGAATTCAAGTAGTGAAAATTGGCTTACAAGGAACTTTTTCTTTAGCGAACCATGAGCGTTTTCAGTATGCACAACGTTTTCTGATAAACTACTTGAACCATGGTTACAAGAAGATGAAGAATTAGATGGTGTTTGGGATGTTTTAAAGAGATTGACCCGATTGTTGACTTTTGGTTTGGGAGCAGGTGAAATTGCGGAGTTTAATTCTGGGAAATTGGTACAGAATGATCCGAGTTTAATCATCCCGTTAGCACCTTGGACTGAATCGATGACAAGTTGAAGTTTCTTTAAAGAATGGCTTACTTTCTTGATCTTTCGAGATGGCCATCTCATGATTCCGTGTTGTCTGCATATTCGTTTTAAAGTAGTCGGGCACACTGAAAATATTGAGGAAAATTAAAGAATCATAATAATAGGTTTTTGGTTGAAATACAGAAGAAACACAACCTTTTTTCTATGACTTTATGGATTTACCTGCTTAACTAATTCCATCTTTTGAAAACTAGAAAACTAGGTAACAGAGTAAATGGTTTTTTTTAATTGTCATAAAAAAGTAGAATTGTTTTATGACTAGAAATAGTTAAGTGGGTAAAGACAGTAGAAGTGCTTTTCAGAATAATAAAAAATTAAAGTATGAAATTATGAAAGTATCTAACCCCCAATATTCTTGGCAGCGTCCTTAAGACTCTCGGGAAAGTATTGTTGGAGAACTTGAAAACTTATGTTCCTCTCTGTCTTCACCCGATTCTTTACGCTTGACTGTTTCGATTGTCTTCTTAATCCTGTTCCGGTTCCCCACTCAAGATAAGTTTGCTTCTCGAGCTCGCAGAATCCAAGTCCATTATAAAATTGATTTATCGCTTTAAATTCTTCTTCCTGTTCTTCCTTGTGACACCCGATGGACAAAATGACATTTTCGTCTCTTTCCTTGGCTTGAATCATATCCTCGATCCAAGATTCATCTCGGGTATTTGTTTCTTCTTCTAGTTCTTCCTTATGACACCCCATGGACAAAATGACCGTTTCGCCCCTCTCCCGCGCTTCCACCATATCGGATATCCAAGATTCATCACGGCTATTGATGTCTTTGACTAGTTCTTCATCGTTTATAAAATGCAAGCTCCAAGAAATTGAAAGAGTTAATTCACTTGTAATCACTGAACTTCGATATCATTAAACTAAGCCAAAGTGACATTAAATACTAGAAATTACAAAGAGATAACAAACTATAGCTAGTAACAAGGAAAATCTAGAAAAACGGAAATAGCTTAAGACTCGGTATTATCACGTGTGCAAATCCCACTTGACTTGACCCAGCCAGCTTTATTTGAATTCTTTTATTCTTGAGCTAAAGACAACTAAACTCCATTAAATCCTCCCTCAAACATGACTAGGTTTCCATGTCTTGTTTTCCCTTGAGAGAATAAACACCCAGTCTTCCTCTTAACCTTTGAAAATCATATCGATGCAATGGCTTGGTTAAGATGTCTGCCACCTGCTCCCTGGTATCCACATATTCCAGTGCAATTGTTCCATCACCTACCAATTCCCTTAAGAAATGAAATTTTACTCCAATGTGCTTACACCTTCCATGAAAAACAGGGTTCCTTGACAGCTGTACGGCTGAAGTATTGTCACATTTTATCACACTTTCACCCCTCTGATGCACACCAAGTTCTTCCAATATTTCTCGAATCCAAATAACTTGACAGGCACAGGACGCAGCGGCTACATACTCAGCTTCTGTAGATGATAGAGCTACTATTCTTTGTTTCTTTGATGACCACGAGACAGCTGCTCCATCCCACAAAATCACATTTCCAGAAGTACTTTTCCTGTCAGTGAGGTCTCCAGCGAAGTCACTATCTGTAAAAATTTCCATCTTGCCCTTTCCTCCTTTCTTGTACCAGATCCCATAGTCCAGAGTTCCTTGTATGTACCTTAGTACTCGTTTGGCTGCTGCAAAGTGAAGCTCAGTTGGTTTGGCCATGAAACGGCTTATGAAGCTCACTGCAAACTGTATGTCTGGTCTTGTGGCAGTGATGTACATTAGACTGCCCACCAATTGCTTAAATAGGGTTTCATCAGCTGGTTCTCCTTCATCATTCTTTAGTCTGCATCCTGGAACTATTGGGTTTATGACTGAATTGCACTCAAACATCTTGAAACGAGTTAGTATTTCAACTGCATATTTTCTCTGTGAAATGTGGATGCCAACTGAGTCTTGTATCACCTCAATGCCCAGAAAGTACCTCATCTTTCCCAAGTCTGTCATCTCGAATTCAGCCTTCATAGAACTCTTGAAATCATTCATCATCTTCTCATCATTTCCTATGAAAAGTAGGTCATCTACATACACATTAACAAACAATAGTTTTCCTCCTGCTTGCTCTTTAATGAATAATGTATGCTCGATCTTGCTTCTAGTAAAACCATCATTGATAAAGTGAGCCTCAATGCGACTATACCAGGCCCTGGGGGCCTGTTTAAGTCCATACAGTGCCTTCTAAAGTTTATACACTTTGTGTTCATCATTCTTCACAACATATCCTTGTGGCTGCTGGACATACACATCTTCTTGCAGAGTTCCATGGAGAAAAGCTGATTTTACATCCATCTGATAAATACTCCAACTTCTTTGTGCTGCAAGTGCGAGAATCAAGCGAATGGTATCCATTCTAGCCACTAGAGCATATACTTCCATATAGCCTACTCCATATTTCTGACCATAGCCTCGAGCCACCAGCCTTGCTTTTTGTTTCTCAATCTCTCCCTTTTCATTCATCTTTGTCTTATATATCCACTTTACCCCAATGCACTTGGCACCTTTTGGTAGATCAACTAGCTGCCAAGTTTGATTTTTCTCAATCATCTCCATCTCACTATCCATTGCTTTCTTCCATTTGGCTTCTTTCACAGCATCTTCATAACAGGTAGGGTCCTGATGAATTATCTCCATGATATTTATTTCTTCTTCTTCTGAATCTAGTTCATCACTTGTGACATAATCCTGTAGGTATCTTGGGGCTCTTCTTTGTCTTCCCTCCCTAAATGTGGCGGTGTTCGGGCCTACTTCATCATTTGACTGATCTGATTCAGTCACTTCATGTTGTTCATTGCCATGATCATCAATAAAGACATAGTCTTTATCAATAAAGTCATAATTACCCCATGAGAGTTCTTCTATTTCTATGCTTTCTTCCTTATCTTGACACCAATTCCAGCCTTTGTGTTCTTCAAAGATCACATCTCTACTTGTTATGACCTTCATTGTTTAAGGATTGATCAGACGGTAAGCCTTTGATTCCTCACTTACACCTGTCAACACACAAATAATGCTCTTGTTTTCAAGTTTAGATCTCTTCTCCTCTGGTACATGAACATGTGCCAAACAACCCCAAATTCGAAAGTGTTGGACTGTGGGCTTCACACCACTCCAGGCTTCCTGTGGTGTCATGTCTGATAGAGCTTTAGTTGCACTTCTATTTAGCACATAGAAACTCCAGCATGTTGCTTCAGCCCAGAACATTTTAGGCATATTTTTGGCTGAAAGAAGAGTTACCACTATGTTGATTACTGTTCTGTTCTTCCGCTCTGCAACCCCATTTTGTTGCGGGGTAAAACTGGTGGTTAACTTGTCTTCTGATACCATGTTCCCTGCAGTACTTGTCAAAGTCCTTAGAAAGGTATTCTCCTCCTCTATCTGTTCTAAGAGCCTTTACCACCTTCCCAGTTTCAGTTTCTACTTTGTTCTTGAAGTCTTTGAAGCTTTCGAAGGCTTGTGATTTCTCTGTTAGCAAATAGACCCAACCTTTGCGACTAAAGTCATCAATAAAACTCAAGAAGTACTTCTTGCCTGTATGGGATGCTGGAGTGATTGGTCCACAAATTTCCGAGTGTACCAACTCTAGGATTTCTTTCGCACGCCATGAGCTCATCTTTGGTATGGCCTCTCTTGTCTGTTTTCCGATCATACAATCTCCACATACTGAAGTATCAATGACAAACTTGGGTAGATCACGCACCATGCCTTTGCTTTGAAGAGTCTTTAAGCTAGTTTTACTTATGTGCCCCAACCTTTCATGACATAGCTTGGCCACATCATCATCACTGGAGTATAAGCAACCTTCTGTGTTCTGCTCTTCATCTTCATTTGTATCCTCACTGAGTGGATACATACGATTTGTGCTCATACCTGATTGAAAGATCAAGCCTTTGTCTGGATGAAATACTTTACATACATCAGATTGAAACAGAAAGGACAGACCCTTTTGTTGTAATTGCCCAATGCTAAGGAGATTGTTCTTTAAATCTGGAACATAGTACACATCCCTTATAACATAGGTTGCACCATTCAACACAAGCTTTACATCTCCCTTTCCTTCCACAGTCATCCGAGTGTTGTTGCCTAGCTTTACAGTGTTTGAAAAACCTTGATTAAAGCCAACAAATCTTTCTTTGTTTCCACACATATGGTTTGAACATCCAGAATCTAGGAACCACAAAAGTCCTTTGTCTTCATTACTTGATTTCACCATGAACACACCCTGTTCTTCTTCACTTCCTTCAATCATAAGCATGACTTCTTCATTTTCTTCGAACCCTGCATAGTTTGCTTCCTTTGAATTAGGGCATTCATAAGAATAATGCCCTAATTTATGACAATTGTAACATTCAACTGTTTCTTTGTTTACTGACTGTCGACCTCTACTGCGGCTCCTTCCTCTGAAGTTTGATCGACCTCTGCAATGCCCTTTAGAGTTAGGACTGCTCCCTGTATCAGCCTTTAGTGCGTGTTCTTCTTCCTTTTCATTCTTCTTGAACTTTTGGTCATGGACGATTAAAGTGCTCTACAATTCTTCTATAGACATCTGTTCAATGTCCTTTGATTCTTCAATAGACACCACCACGAACATGTATTTTTCAGTTAGGGTTTGCAGAATCTTCTCCACAATCTTGACATCAGTCATCTCTTCTCCATTGCTTCTCATCTGATTAGAGATTGTCAAAACCCTACCAAAGTATTCAGGTATGGTCTCATTTGTCTTCATCTCTAAGACTTCAAAATCTCTACGGAGCTTCTGCAGCATGGATTTCTTCACACGATCATTCCCTGCAAACCTTTTCTTCATTGATTCCCAGACAGCCTTGGATGTTCTTCGGTCGAGGATCTGCTCAAACGTGACACGGTCAATTGCTTGGTACATGTAATGTTTAACCTGCAAGTCCTTCATTCTCAGTTCTTCCAATTTCACCTTCTCCGCTTCGCTTTGCGCAACACCCACTACTGGCTCTCTAATGCCTGGATCGATTAGGTTCCAAACCTGTTTTGCACGCAGCAAATTTTCCATCATCTCACTCCAATGTTCGTAATGACCATCGAAGACAGGCACTTTCAACTTATCATCATTCATCTCGCTTCTCTCCTCTTAGTGATCTGAATTTCGCTCTAATACCAAATGAAAGAGTTAATTCACTTGTAATCACTGAACTTCGATATCATTAAACTAAGCCAAAGTGGCATTAAATACAAGAAATTACAAAGAGATAACAAACTATAGCTAGTAACAAGGAAAAGCTAGAAAAACGGAAATAGCTTAAGACTCGGTATTATCACGTGTGCAAATCCCACTTGACTTGACCCAGCCAGCTTTATTTGAATTCTTTTATTCTTGAGCTAAAGACAACTAAACTCCATCAGAAATATGTTTTATCATCGAAATTATCGAGCTTCGAATATTTTTTTGTTCTTCATCTCCTTTGCAATCGCGGGGCGGAAGAACTCGAGGATGAAATCGGTGGGTCCCATGTAGGTGCTACGGAGACGTATTGCCATGGCAACATTCAGGCCGTAATAAGAACTTATTGGATAATCAGTCCTACGAAAATCATTAATGTCAGTAAAGCAAGGTTGGTTTGTACCCAACGCTTTACCAACGATACCTTCTCCTAGTAACAGCTGCTCGCATGAGGTCTCCTCAAAGAAGGATAAAATCTCGGGATCAAAAACATATGTAGCAGATTTGATAACGGAAATGGAATTAACGTGTTGTCGGGATTGTGCTTCACATGGGCCCCAAGTTTGAGCTAATGGCAATTTGAGTGAAACATCTTGAATCTCTGCAAGTACTGCATCGTGTGGTTCATGGAATTCTTGATAAATACAAATAGTCTTGAGATATCAGAATGAGCTGAACAAAGGAAATAGGAACATAATTTCATTAATTACTATAGCAGTCTACTTTCATTTGTTTTTATTACTACGTTGTGATAATTAAATTGATGGTGAAAATTATAAATTATGTTGTAATTAAAGAGATATCAGGGGTTGCATAATTTTTTAAGGGTTGCATCTAAAAATCTAATCAACTCAACAATTCCCAACTTCATCATTTCATTTAATCATGAAATAGATGGTTTATACATCAACAGATTACAAAAGAAACCTTACTACATAAACCACTCACACTCATATGAACTGGAGAATCTATGTGATCTAAGAACAAAGAAACGTTATGAACAAACACTAATCTGTTACAGTGAACGAGAGAAAAAGTAGGTGAACTCATAAAATATCTTGAGAGAATGAATCAACTGATCGGTTCAGCTAGAATATATACTCGGGTCATAACTTCATGAATATATCCATAACCCGAACTACAACCCGCGTATAAACCCGTTTCCTCCTGCACTTTACAAAACACACCCATACAAAAATACATATAATACCATTTCTACCCTGTGAATAACAAAGATTAATGTTTAAGTTTGATCTAAACCTTTACTTTTCTCAACATGCCCCCTCAAACTAAACATTAATCTCAAAAATAATTTCCAGTTATTTTTTAAAAACATTTACCATATTAAGTATATCCACAATATATTCATGTTGACTACTACCAAGAGACTTAGTTAAAATATCTGCATTTTGTTCTGAAGATAAAATTTTATTAACTTTTAATACTCCATTTTCAATTTTTTCTCTTACAAAGTGCAGATCAATTTCAAAGTGTTTAGTTCTTTCATGGAAAACAGGATTTAAAGCAAGTTTAATTGCTGACTCATTATCACAAAAAATATTTACTGGTAACTTTGGTTTTATATTCAAATCAAAAAGCAATTTTAGAATCCATATAATTTCACAGGTTATGCTACCTAGGGCCCTGTATTCAGACTCAGTGGAGGAGCGAGAAACAGTACTCTGTTTTTTGCTCTTCCAAGAGACAAGGCACCCTCCTATATATACAAGATAACCTGTTACTGACTTACGACTAAACAAACATTTAGCCCAGTCAGCATCTACAAATCCAACTAGATCAAAAGAATTTGTCTTTATTAAATGAATCCCCATTCCTGGAGCATTTTTCAAATACCTTAATAATCTGAAAGCAACATTAACATGAGATTTGTAAGGTCTATGCATGTATTGACTTAACAACTGAACATCATAAGAGATACCAGGTCTTGTAATGGTTAGATAAATCAATTTTCCAATAAGTTTTTGATATTCAGTAATATCAACCAAATAATCTGATTTATCCAGGTCTGATTCTCTTTTAATTACAAGATTAGACTCTAAAGGGGTTTTAACAGGTTTACATGCAAGCATTCCAAATTCATGAAGTAACTCCATACAATATTTCCTTTGATTAAGACAAATACCATTTTCAGTTCTTAAAACTTCAATACCAAGGAAATACTTCAGATCACCAAGATCTTTTATTAAAAATTGTGATTTAAGAAAATCTTTAACATTATTTAGCTCAATTTTATTGTTTCCAGTTAAAATAATGTCATCTACATAAACAAGAAGAATCACAAAAGAATCTTGAAAAACTCTAACAAATAAAGAATAGTCATTCATGCTTTGTTTGAATCCAAAACTGGAAAGAGAAGAACATAACTTCTCATTCCATTTTCTAGGGGCCTGCTTAAGTCCATAAAGAGATTTTAACAATCTACATACTCTAGTATCACCCTTTGAGTGATATCCTTCAGGTTGACTCATGAAAACACTTTCAGATAAGTTTCCATACAAAAAAGCATTATTAATGTCAAGTTGAAAAAGGGGCCAAGAATTATGAACAGCCAAAGAGAGAACTACTCTAACTGTCACAATTTTAGCCACAAGTGAGAAAGTTTCTTCATAATCTATTCCTTCCCTTTGATTATATCCTTTAGCAACAAGTCTAGCTTTATATCTTTCTATATCTCCATTAGATTGTATTTAATCTTATATATCCATCTACAACCTATAGCTTTTCTATCACTAGGAAGATTAGTAATTTCCCAAGTATTATTTCTATAAAGAGCTTCCATTTCCTCATTCATGGCTTTAACCCAATTTGGATCAAGGGCAGCCTCACTATAGCTTTTTGGTTCAATAGTTTTATTAATGCTTGAAAGAAAACAAAAAGTATTATTATCAAGAGCTGAATAATTGACAGACCTCTCTATACCATATTTATGTTTTCCTTCAATAACATTGTCACTAAATCTAACTGGCTTGTGAATACTACGTCCAGATCTAGTTTCCCTAGTTGACAAACTATCAGAAGGATCAGAATTATTTATAACATTTTCCTCAGTCAATGTAGAAGAACCTGGAAACATCTCACCAGTAGGAGGCACATATGCCTCACCTGTCCGGTTGCTGACATCAGAGGGAGAAGTCTCATCCAGGCCATGGTCTGCATTAGCACCATCCAACTGATGGTTGCTATCCAGGTTTTCTACCCTAGTGTCATCAAGAACAGAACTAGAATTTAAAGACTCGTCATAGGAAAACAAATCATTTGGATTCATAGGGACATTAGATCTATCAGCCAAAGATGAAGATTTAAGCTTGAAAGGGAACACAGACTCATAGAATTTTACATCCCTGGAAACAAAAATAAGATTTGAATCAAGACTAAGAACTTTGTAACCTTTTTTATCAGAAGAATATCCAAGAAAAATACACTTATCAGCTCTTTCAGAGAATTTATCTGAATTATTTAATTTGGTGGCAAAACATAAACAACCAAACACTCTAAGTTTATCAAAGACTGGAACACTTTTATAAACAAGTTCATAAGGAGAAGCACCATTTAAAACTGAAGTAGGAGTTCTATTGATCAAAAAAACTGAGGTTAGAACAACATCTCCCCAATATTTAAGCGGAATAGCTGACTGAAACATAAGTGACCTTGCAACATTTAAAATATGTCTGTGTTTTCTTTCCACAACTCCATTTTGTTGTGGAGTATGAACACAAGAAGTTTGATGTAAAATCCCTTTTGACTCAATTAAAAATTTCATCCTATTATTTAAAAACTCAGTCCCATTATCAGACCTAACAGTTTTAATTTTAACACAAAACTGATTAAGAAGAATATTAAAGAAAACAACAATATAATCATACACTTCATCTTTTGATCTTAACAAATAGACCCAAGTAGCCCTAGTATAATCATCCATAATGGTTAAAAAAATATCTGAATCCTTCTACAGTTGTCACCCTATAGGGACCCCAAACATCTAGATGAATCAACTCACCAAGTTTAGAAGTAGAGTGTTGACTAACAGGAAAAGGTTCTCTAGTCTGTTTAGCTTTATGACAAACATCACATGGAGGAAGACTTTCATTACCAATTTTAAGTTTGGATTTTAAAACACCCAAAGCTTGATCAGAAGGGTGACCAAGCCTATGATGCCAAGTCAATTTATGTAATAGAGACCTCCAGACTCTCTACCATTCCCCACCATCACCTTTGACTGTAAACCCTGAATTTTACAACTATGTTCATTAAACACAACTTCACAATTACTATCTTTACAAACCTTATGGACAGACAGTAAATTCACATTGAAATCAGGAACAACAAATACATCAAACAGGGTTAAAGAGTCAGACAGATTTAGATTACCAATTTTATTAATTTTAGCAGATGTGCGATTAGGATGACTAACTACTAAATCTAATTTTGATACATCCAAAGTATCATGAAGAAGTGACTCAGAAGCAATCATGTGTTGATTAGCTCCTGAGTCAACAATCCATTTAGGTGAATTAACAGAAGAATTATAAGCTTGAAATAAGCAAGTACCTGCCATATTGGCACTGACAGAAGACTCTTCACTAACATGTCTATCACCAATCAATTGCAAAAACTTGACATATTGATCTTTGGTGAGTTGATGAAACTCAGAATCCCCATTAGAATCAGGAAAATTAGAAGCACTTCCATTTCCAGAAGAAGTAGTAGAAGAATTAGCAGAAAAAATTTTCACAAAATTATTCTGATTATTATTTTCATTTCTTGGTTTAAAATCCTTGGGATATGCAATCAACTTATAACATTTCTCTATAGTATGTCCTTTAATACCACAATTTTTACACTGAACAGTTTGACCCTTATTTTTAGTATTAGACCTGTTATTAAATCTGCTATTAAAGGCAGTGGACTGAGACTTTGTCACAGACTGAGATGACTGAAAGGAAGACAAGGATCCATTTCTTTGAAGGGATTCTTCCCTTGACACAATAGAGAATGCAGTTTTTACATTTGGTAAAGGGTCCATTAACAAAATGTGACTCTTAACTTGACTGTAAGAATCATCTAAACCAGATAAAAACTGCATAAGTTTCATGAGATTAGAATGATCTTTAAGTTTAATAGAAGCATCACAAACACACTCAGTTAAGCTAGTAAAACCATCAAATTCCTTCCATAAGGAATCAAGCTTATTGAAGTAATCAGACAAAGAAACACCATTTTGTTTAAGAGAATTAATTTGTTGGTGAATATTAAACACAACAGATCCATCAGATTTATTATAAGTTTCAAAAAGACTTTCCCAAATTTCTTCTCCAACTTCTGAATAAGCTTGACTCTGATAAATGGAATCAGAAATAGAAGACAGAAGCCAAGAACAGACAATAGCATTAGCCCTATCCCATTTAGACTGTTTGGACTCATCAACTTTACTTTTCTTAAAAGTTCCATCTACAAACCCTAGTTTATTTCTTGCCTTAAGAGCTCTAGAAATAGAACTTCTCCAGAGTCTAAAATTTTCATTTCCAGTTAATTTTGTTGTAATAATTGATGTAACAACATTATCAGAAGGATGGATGTAAAGAGGATCATCAAAATTAACTTGATCATCCTTTCCACTTCCACCAGGTGGATCATTAGAACCACCAGCCATTTAGAACACACAGAAAGAAAACCAAGAACCAAACAGAACAAAAAAAACTTAAACAATCAGGACCACACTTCTTGTACTGATATTTAGTCCAGATGGTCACCACATATATCGGGGCCCAAGACAATCAGTACAAAAGAACTATTCAGGCAAAAAGAATTAACCAGGTAAAATGAACATGAAAAGTAACTGGTGTACACAAGACACCAGGATCTCCCAGAACAGATATAAAAAAAAAAGAGATACCAAAAAGGAACAAGAAACGTTCTCATAGTGATTGAAGCTAACAGAAGAGGAATCGACTCTCCTTATCCGTTCCCTACTAGGGTTTATCGGTGATAAAATCCGACCCCTAGAGAGTTATTTCAGATAAGAAGATTAATCGATTAGGGTTTTTTATCGACGATGTTCCTCAAGTCGAATAGGGTTTTCACCAATGACAATCCACAGGACGATAAGATTCTTATCAACCGATGATGACCCACAGGAGAAACCTGCAATCATACAAACACGATTCGCAGTACCAGGAACTAAAGAAAACAAAACAAGTAATATGTTCGATTTAACTTTACAGGAACAATCCAAAAAACAGATCGAACATTAACAGTTTATGTCTCCTCAAAAGAACGATAGCGTTCAGAGGAATACTTAGATCAAAAAAACAAGTAGATTCAACAAACAAGAAACATAAAAAGAGAAGAAAATACCTGACAATCAGGTGATGAACAAAACTCGTTGAGCGTTATATGAAGAAGAACGAAGCCTTAAGCTCTGATACCATCTAAAAATCTAATCAACTCAAGAATTCCAACCTTCATCATTTCATTTAATCATGAAACAGATGGTTTATACATCAACAGATTACAAAAGAAACCTTACTACATAAACCACTCACACTCATATGAACTGGAGAATCTATGTGATCTAAGAACAAAGAAACGTTATGAACAAACCCTAATCTGTTACAGTGAACGAGAGAAAAAGTAGGTGAACTCATAAAATATCTTGAGAGAATGAATCAACTGATCGGTTCAGCTAGAATATATATCCGGGTCATAACTTCATGAATATATCCATAACCCGAACTACAACCTGCGTATAAACCCGTTTCCTCCTGCACTTTACAAAACACACCCATACAAAAATACATATAATACCATTTCTACCCTGTGAATAACAAAGATTAATGTTTAAGTTTGATCTAAACCTTTACTTTTCTCAACATTGCACAATTAAAAGGGTTTCATCGACAAATTTACACTTATTACGACTTTCTGACGGATTTCTAACGGATTCATAATGGATTTCCAACGAATTTGTGATGAATTTGAGGGGTTGCCCATGCCTTCCGAGGACACCTGCTATGTCTGCCCCTGCTGATAATGTTAAAATTGGGGAGGCTTTTCAAAAAGTTGGAAGTATAAAATTATAATTCAAAGTAATGAAAGTACTTTTGAGTTGTGGAGTCTGATTCTCCCTTTAACTTCATAGCCTCTAGCTAGCAGACCAATCATACAGTTGACCTTATTTGTTAGATTTTTTGTGGTTTGGCCTTATTAGTAGAAATTAGGTCAGTTTGGTTCTATAAACAAACCCTTATGAATTTGTGTAACCCTAACTAAGTAAGTAAGCAAACAAAAGTGTAATTCAACGGGCATCAATAAAATATCTCTCTTGTTCGACCGTGCACATATCTCGATTTCTCAGATGGAATGAACCATATTAAATATCGTGTTCTTACTTCTTACTGCATTATTACTTTGTGTGTGTAAATCGTTTGTTGAAATGCTTAAATCCTAACAAAGTACTACGCTATAACAGACAAATAGATAAAAATAGGTTGCCATTTCATGCATTTAGATATACCAGAAATGAGTTTTAAAGTATCATCAATTGGTTGATGAGTTTCTTATTGTATTCCTACCTTTTGGTTTGGATGAATCAAGAACTCTGAACTCCTTAGATCAACAGCCTGAAAGTTAAAGTTGATTCGGAAATGATTTAACCAAGAATCCAACTCAATTAACAAAAAAAAACAATTGAGATAGGAAAAAAATAAATTTGCATTTGGGGTAACCAGAGAGAGAGAGGAAGAAAGTAGAATAATAAGAGAAGAAGAAACGGATTAAAGGAGTGATATTATAGTTTTGGTGTTTATGGAGTTTTAAAGGAACTGAATGTAACACAATGAGAAACATATATAGAAAAGAAGATAAAAAGAGACCTCAAGAGCTTTACAGATGTTTTTGAGTTCATCCCGGAAGTTGACATACTGGGAAGTTGTCACCATCTCAACAACACCCAAGCAAGTTCCACCATCTATCTCGAACACAGGAAGGTTGAGACACCCATAAAGGTTGATTTTTTGAGCATAAATCACATGTCGGTCATTCACTTTTGCAACAAATCCAAGATTCGGTGTGCAGGTGGGAAACTTGTTCAAGAAAACATGGCTTGGTAAACCGATCATCTCGTAGAATCATAATCAGCTGCAAACTGGTAGTTCTTGGAAACCTCTCGATAATTTAAGAGGTTTGTGTTAGCAGATGAGTTAATTATGAATGATTTGTTCACTGTGGTTAGGACTAGTTCGCCATGTGTAATTACTGGCAGCCATAGTTGAACAAGAAGGTCTGTGAACACTGTGCACCCTTGGTATAGATTTTCAAAGGCTTGAATCAATCGATTATCGAAGAATTCTTGATAGTCATCAAGAGGGTGAGGGTTCATATCTGTTTCCTCTAGGGAAACGATTGGATCGAAACATCTCATGAATTTCTCTGTAGAACTAAAGTAAGAAGGTGAAAAATCCAAAAGGGTTGAAGAAGACAGATTAGGAGTATCCAAGTCAAGACTGCTTGTGGTATGTTCGTCCATAAAGAAATCTTATTTATTAAGTCAAAATTATATAACGATTAAATTGGTGGAAAAGGCAGCTGAAAAGAAAAGGATTCAGGGACGAGAGAGGAGGAGGTTCAGGTATATGTAAAGCAAAAATAGCAACGTCAGGAACTCTTATCGTCTTTCTTAAAAAACCAGATGTGTCCGTGTCTCACAAACATTATTCTTCTGAAGAACTGCATATTTACAAGTGCACCTCAGCAAGATTTTCAAGCATCAACGAAAAGTCGAAAAAGAATACACAAAGTCATCGAGATCAAATATGAAACATTATAATGGAGAAAACTGTTGGACGTAATGTACTAATGCCACATGACAAATCAAAAAACACAAACTCATGGAAACTAAACAATCCAACATGCAAAGTCCAAACCTGTTCAATGTATTGTCACAAATAGACATGACAAATAAAAGCACAAACTGATGAAGTATACAACAGGTAAACCCACAATTTGTTCGATGTAATGTCACAAACAGACTCATAGTGTTAGACGTAATATTCTCCTTTAGTATATTGTTTTATATATTTTCTATGGTCTTTATGTTTATAAGCCCACTTATGTATACCTAGCCCAGTTATGTACATGTATTGAGTATATATACGATTTAATGAAAGGAATTGACTTTTATGGGAAAACATAATTTGTAATATGGTATCAGGCCTTTCTACGTGCCAACCCTAGCCGATCCCTTATCACAGAGTATCTTCTTCTTCTGCTTCCCTGCGTCTTCTGCTCCTCTGTGCTTCTCCATTCCATGCCTCCTAAAGAAGACTCTTCTATCCCCACCTCTTGTCCCACCGACAAGATATACGGAATTACCAACATCAAATCTTATGTGCCTCTCATTCTTGACATCCATCGACTCAACTATGACGCTTGGAAGGAACTTTTTCAGACTCACTGTCGTGGCTATGAGGTGTTTGATCACCTTGAACCTCCTGACCCTATACCGGACGACCCATCATGGCCTCAAGTAGATAATGTAGTTAAACAATGGTTGTATGCCACTCTATCCCAGCCTGTTCTTCAATCGATCATCAAACCAGGTTGTACTGCTGCCGACATATGGGGTGCCCTACAGGATCTCTTTCACGAAAATAAGGAATCTCAAGCAATTGAATTGGAGGATGAACTTCGAAATATCACTCTTGGCAACTCCACCATTCTTGAATATTGTACCAAGATCAAGGCCATTGCCGATCTCCTTTCTAATATCGGGTCTCCTGTGCCCCCGAGATCTCTCGTCATGTATGCTCTCAATGGTCTGCCTTCTACTTATGCTCACATCATCCCTACGATCCGGTACTCCAAACCTTTTCCCTCGTTTTTGGAGATGCGTTCTATGCTATCTCTTGAGGAACGCTCCATGTTAAAAGAACAAAAACGTGGTCTTCAAACATCTAACGGTGATACTTCCTCTTCCCCTACCGTTCTTGCTACCGAGCACCAATCCCGATCCTCAAACTCCTCCAATAACATATCTCGTAGCAGCAATGGCTCCCGCGGCGGTGGTAAACAGAATCGCGGCGGTGGTAAACAGAATCGCGGCGGTGGCAGTGGTGGAAGAGGAGGTCGCAATGGTAGAGGGGGTCGTGGTCGCTCATCTGTTCCTAAAGGCGGCACTGGTAATTTTTTTGGGGGTTAGGGATCATCGATTCCTTGGCCTGTCTACTACCCACTTCAACGTGGCCTACTTCCGACTCCACCATCTTCGGCCCACTGGCCAGCAGCCCAATGGACTAATCAATCCACTCTCATGCGCCTTCCACTCAACTTCCTTGGAATCAGCCTTCTCAGGCCCAACAGCAAGCTGTATTCTGTAATGGACAGCCCACTACCAATTTTTCTGGCTGGCCCAATTCTCCCTATGCTTCGTCGGATCAAGCTACCCTTTTACCACATGCTTTATCCACTATGAATCTTCATGATCCGGGAACTGCAGACTGGTACATGGACACTGGTGCCACCGCTCACCTTAACGTCGACCCAGGTATTCTCAAGTCCTTTAGCAATAAATGTAATAATTCTAATTTCTCAGTTTTAGTCGGTAATGGATCTCGCATTCCCATCACACAAACGGGTAACACAACTCTTGGTTATAATCCGTTTCGAACGCTTCATTTAAAAAATGTTCTTATTACCCCCCAAATTATCAAAAATCTTGTTTCTGTGCGTAAGTTCACCCGTGATAATAAATGTTCTATTGAGTTTGATGAATTTGGTTTTTCTGTGAAGGACTTTTTAACGAAACAAATTCTTCTTCAATGCGATAGCACCAATGATTTATATCCCGTTACAAGTCCAACTCCTCAAGCTTTTGTTAGTGTCAAGTCTTCCACGTGGCATCAACGTCTCGGTCATCCCGGCCAACAAGTGTTCAAGCATTTATTATCAAATAAAGTCATTTCTTGTAATAAAAAAGATTCTCATTTACTTTGCCATGCTTGTCAACTTGGCAAGCATGTCCGTTTGTCTTTTGCTTTGTCTAAAACTAAAGCTTTATTTCCCTTTCAAGTTGTTCATTCTGATGTTTGGACTTCCCCGTTGGAAAGTCATAGTGGTATTAAATATTATGTCATTTTTCTAGATCAATTTTCTCATTTTTTGTGGGTGTATCCCCTACGTAACAAATCTGATGTTTTCTCCAAGTTTGTCATATTTCGTGCTTATATCAAAAATCAATTTCACACAGATATCCAAACTTTTCAATGTGACAATGGAAAAGAATTTGACAACTCCCAATTTCATAATCTTTGCACCACTCATGGCATTCATATGCGTTTCTCTTTCCCGTACACTTCTCAACAAAACGGTAAATCTGAACGCATGCTTCGTACCATAAATAACACCGTTCGCACACTTGTCTTTCAAGCTCACCTACCTCCCACATATTGGGTTGAAGCTCTCCATATGGCTACTCACCTCCTAAATATTCTTCCCTCCACCACCCTTAAGAATGACTCCCCATACTACAAACTCTTTTAAAAATATCCTACTTATACTCACCTTCGTGTCTTCGGGTGTCTTTGCTATCCTCGCCTTAACAATACCAACAAGCTTCAACCTCGTTCTATTCCTTGTATTTTTCTTGGTTACCCCTCGAGTCATAAAGGATATTGCTGCCTTAACCTTGAAACAAACCAAATCATCATTTCCCGTCACGTAACTTTTGACGAAACCGTGTTTCCCTTTAGTTCAATGACTCCAAATGATTCTCCTAACTATGATTTCTTACATATTGAGGAGACACGCAACATGTTTAATCACCCTTCTCATAGAGCTCAACCCCTCAATTCTCAACCCACACCCTCTCATAACACTGGCCCTCATTCTTTTGGTCCAGATCCTGCCACTCAACAACCCAACTCGGCTGCTGTTACTCCTGTTTCTTCTACTATTGGTACCTCTTCTTCGGATGTGTCTGGTCCTCCTCGTGCTCCGGTTCACCCTATCACTACAAGCACTCATCCTATGGTCACTCGTAAATGCCACGGTATTGTCAAACCCATTGATAAACTTAATCTTCATGAAAGAAGAATTTAATGCACTTATTTCTAACGGGACTTGGGAGCTTGTGCCTCGGCCCCCCGATGCTAATGTGGTTAATTGTATTTGGTTGTTTAAACAGAAACATAATGCAGATGGGTCTCTAGCTCACTATAAGGCGCGTCTCATGGCAAATGGTCGTAGTCAACGACCCGGTATTGACTGTGATGATACTTTTAGTCCGGTTGTTAAACCGGCTACAATACGCACCGTTCTGAGCTTGGCAATTTCTCATCATTGGCCGGTTCATCAGCTAGATGTGAAGAATGCTTTTCTTCAAGGGAATCTTCAGGAGATTGTCTACATGCATCAGCCCCCCGGGTTCCGAGACTCGTCCGCTCCTACTCATGTTTGTCTATTAAAGAAGTCCTTATATGGACTGAAACAGGCACCCCGTGCTTGGTACCACCGTTTCGCTCAGTTCATCACCGGTCGTGGTTTTACTAACAGTAGATCCGATACTTCTCTTTTTATTTACAGACAGGGTGACCAGATCGCGTATTTGCTCCTTTATGTGGATGATATTGTCTTAACTGCCTCATCCTCTGCTCTTCTTCAACAAATCATTAATTCTCTCCGTTCAGAATTCTCAATGACTGATTTGGGTGCTCTAAACTATTTTCTAGGTGTTGCTGTTACACGTGACAGACATGGAATGTTTCTATCTTAACAGAAGTATGCCACGGAGATTCTTGATCGTGTCGGTATGCGTCATTGCAAACCCGCACGAACCCCAGCGGAATCCTCTACCAAGTTTAATGGTACGGGTCCTCCTGTTTCTGATCCCACTTTATACCGCAATCTCGCTGGTGCACTTCAGTATCTGACCTTTACCAGACCAGACATTACTTATGTTGTTCAGCAGGTCTGTCTCTATATGCATGATCCTCGGGAGCCTCATTTCACGGCTCTTAAGCGTATTCTCCGGTATCTACATGGCACTTTGGATCATGGTCTTCAACTATACATATCTCCGTCGCGTGGTCTTATTGCCTACTCTGATGCTCATTGGGCTGGTTGTGCTTCTACTCGTCGCTCTACTTCTGGATATTGCATGTTTTTAGGTCAGAATCTTCTTTCATGGTCATCTAAAAGACAGGGTACGATCTCTCGTTCTAGTGCTGAAGCAGAGTATCGGGGTGTTGCGAATGCCGTTGCTGAGACATGTTGGTTACGCAACCTGCTACGTGAGCTCCTTTATCCCCCTCTATCTGCCACCCTGGTATACTGTGATAATGTTAGTGCGGTCTACTTGTCCTCCAACCCAGTTCAACATCAACGCACCAAACATATAGAGATTGATATCTATTTTGTTCGTGACCAGGTTGCTTTGGGACAGATACGTGTCCTTCATGTCCCCTCGTCTTCTCAGTATGCTGACATTTTTACTAAAGGCCTGCCATCCACATTGTTTCTTGATTTTAGATC